GTCTGTCGTCCCAGCAGTGATGGGGGTAAACCAGTATTAACTGCCACCGACGTTGGGTTGACAAGGGTGACCAGCCTGAGCCGCACTATCAGGCAGGTGTTCACCCTCTGGAGCTCATGATAATCTGTTTTTAGTGGGGCTGCTAAGGCATTATCCAGTACGAGCTGCTGCCGCGCACGCTACCCTCACCTGTGCTGTCAGCAGCTGGATATATACTTCACCGAGATCACAGAGGAGCATAGAAATCGCGACGGGATCTAATTCCTTCACGATTACACTCGTCCCCGCACTGCAAGAATGACACGAATGAAGCGAGTCAGCTTTGGATGGAAAGTGCTGCTTCACCTACCGTACAGCCTGGAACTTGATCCATCACACTGCCACCCTTTTCTTTCGCTGTTGAACGATATGCAAGAAAAGAAGATGAAGACGAGATGCATAGCTGGTTGGACAAATTGTTCGAGTCGGAGCAAAGCAGTTTATTACTGAAGGCGACAAGTGGCACCCGAACAGTGGCGAATTTTGATGGACAGTGATGGTGATTAGCTTGTTTCTTAGCGTTTCCCTTCTTCCAAGAAGTCAATAAAATGATGAATATAAAAACCGGGAGCACTTGACTTACAACCTACATAATTAAGATGGAAATCCTGTGGAATAACCTTGGATAAACTACATCATTTTGCTACAATTTCGTTAAATAAAATGGTGTTTTTTTTATAAATAAATCGGTCACCGTGCCTTTCGAGAAGGGTCATTCCAACACTACTATGCCTATACCCTTCGAAGCCTCTTTTCTATTGTGAAGCTTGAGCTTCATAAAATGGAGGTGTGTCAAGTAATGTGAGGTTTAAGAGCTATTGTAACCCCACCGAGTGTTGAGAGAGGAGAGTGTACTTCATGCTGAAATCGGAAAATCGACGAATCGCTTAGTTAGTGCTTAACCTAGTCACAGTGTATCCAAAAGTGTTCGTAGTCGACTGTTTTGTAGGCGTTATGAGGTGGACAAAACGGGTGACAGAGTGCGGACTTCTATATCAAAAGCAAAGTATGCTGGAAGTTCGCCGATATCACTGCATCTGTACAGTCCATATCTCGAAGTCTGATTAGGCGCACCACTGGAAATGACGTGGGCCGCCTGACTTAAAGATAGGGGTCACGGTAAATCCTTTGGAGTCGATAAGGAAAGTTACGTACTGGAGTGGGTAGGGGTCCTGCCCAATGAGACAACAGGTGAGTGTTTCAGTGGCAGTGGCGCCTTATCAACGGAGTGATAAGGCGCCGAAATCCACTTCCGGTAGCAAAAACACTCCGTATCGATGTGGAAGGGGTGCGATAAGAGCGTGCTAGATATGATACCGTTATCTTTATCC